TTTTTATTTTATGAGGTACAAAAGTATAAAATACACATAGATTTAAATAATAACAAATAAGTACATGAAAAATAACAATCGTTGTTCCAATTTAAATTCTTCTAATTCCCGTTATAAATGACATATTTTGACAGCCATACAAACCATCACATACTGCAAGTGCTTGTGACAGTCACACTTAAATTTGCTTATGTCATTTCAATAAGTCCCTTTTAGGGGTAAACAGAGCTAAAATATAAAAAACATTTAGACATCTTCTACTACGGAACTAAAAGATGGATGATCATCAAACTTTGTCTGTAGCATTCTTTAATAGTCTTTTATCAAGTTTGCTCATATTAATTTGATTGGCCCCTTTTAGGGGTCTCTAGGGATAAAAATAGAAAAACCTTTAGACATCTTCTTCTACAGAACTAATTGATGGATGATCACCAAACCTAGTCTGTAGCATACCTAAATAGTCGTTGATAAAGTTTGCTCATATTAATTTGACTGGCCCTTTTAAGGGGCCGCTAAAGCTAATTATAGAAATACCTTTAAACGTCTGCTTCTATAGAACTAATTAATGGATGATCACCAAACTTTTGTCTGTAGCATTCTTGAGTAGTCTTTTATCAAGTGTGCTTATAATAATTTGGTTGGCCCCTTTTAGGGGTCTCTAGGGCTAAAAATAGAAAAACCTTTAGACATCTTCTTCCACCGAACTAAGTGATGGATGATCACCAAACTTTGTTTGTAGCATTCTTTGGTAGTCTTTTATCAAATTTGCTCATATTTATTTGATTAGCCCCTTTTAGGGGTCTCTAGAGCTCAAAATAGAAAAACCTTTAGACATCTTTTTCTACAGAACTAATTGATGGATGATCACCAGACTTTGTCTGTGGCACTCTTAGGTAGTCATTTATCAAATGTGCTCATATTAATTTGATTGGCCCATTTTAGGTAATTCTTTGGTAGTATTTTATCCAATTTGCTCATATTTATTTGATAAACTCCTTTAAGGGCCGCTTAAGCTAAAAATATTAGGAGCAACTATAGCTTTGAAAATGCCCTGAGCCATGGCATTTCTTCAAATTATAGTTAATAATGAAAGGTAAATAACTCATTTTGGAATGTTTTCATATATGTGTACATGCAAACATGTGAACTCTCCCAATTTGAGCGGGAGACACCCTCTTTCTCCTGTCAAAGTTATAATATTTTTCTTAGAATAAGGGGTGTTTTAAAAAAAATAAAGAAATCCCCCTCTTTTTCATTTAAAAATTCCATGTCAATTAAAAAATCTCCCTCTTTTTGATCTTGAACATTGAAAAAAGTTCACATGCATGTACATTATGCATAAAAAAGATTGAATGTCTTAATGCCATGACCTGTTTGCTTTACATAGATCTTGAAGAAATGATTTAAGGTCACGTGCTTTGTATCTTTCTGTCTGTGCCCTACATTTGGGATGGGCATTGCATCATTCTAAGGTTTATTTGTAGGTCAATCTAGAGAATTTTTCCCAAGGCCTAAAGAAATGTTTCATTCTTACCTTACTAACTTAAAGAAAGCAAATTTCAATTGGTATTGGGACACACTGTTGAACCTGATGTTCATGTGCATGGGATTTTGTCACTGTGTAACAGATAGGTGATTGCTTTTCACTGAGATTCATTTACAGTATCTGTTGTATTATATGAGAATATAATAATAATATATAGAATAGCCTTACCGATAGACCTGTAATTGTCTTATTAGCCTGAACAGCTGCATAACCACTTTCCCTGATCTCAGTGTTTTTTCTTCAAGGTAATATTCAAATAATTTTTCATTAGAGAAACACTCAAACTGATAAGTTAAATGTTAATAAATTTGAATTTATTTCATAAATGTAGATATGGCTGAAATTATTTTTCATCTTATTTTACTTTATAATCTTTTGTAACTTAGCATTTTACATTAAGGAACAAAACTTAAGTTTCAGTGAACTATGTCAACTTTAGAAGTATTTCTTGCTTGTCTGAACACATCTGTGGATGTTTCTAAATTCATAATTTCACCATTTTCGTGTTAAATGTTGAATTCTGCTTAAGCCGGTGCTAGGGGGCGTGGACGGTAGCTTGCACTTTCCAGTACCGTCCATGAACAGGCTCAATCAAACCGAGCATGCAACATTTTCAATTTTGTTGTGTTGGACTTTCTTTGGGGATTCTGTTTTTCTCTATTTTATGTAATTTTGTTATTTTTATTCTTTGTGCTATTTTAGTATCAGATTCAATTATTTCTATTCAGAATCACATTTTGCAAACTTCGTTATCACTTGTTAAAGTAATATGCACTGTTTCATACAATGTATGAAAAGTTGTTTTTATGTTCACTGAATACTTTGATTGTTTGTTTTGGGTTTTAGGTCACATCGACACAGTATAGGTCATATCGCGACGCTCCAGCTTTACTGGTGGAGGAATACCTCAGGTGCCCTTCCGTGCATTATTTCAGGCACGAACGGGTACCTGAGTAGAACCACCGACGTTCCGTAAGCTAGCTGGATAGCTTCCTCACATGAAAGAATCCAAAGTCCCTGTCGGGATTCGAACCAACAGAGGTGAGGGGCAAGTGGTTTGAAGTCAACGACCTTAACCACTCGGCCACGTTCACTGAATACATTTCATCGAAACAACCTTTTGCCTTTTTTCTCTATTTAGTTAAAGTTACAATTTTCCCCATTTCTATTAGAGAGTCAGATAATTAGCATCAAATGTTAACTTTCTGGTCGAGATGACTAGTATATCCATGTTATCTTAAATAAATATTGACCGGTGGTGTCATTCTGACAAACAGTATACATGTATATCTAAATACTGAGATTATGTTATTATCTAATGTTTAGATAATTAAAAAAAAGAAAGATCACAATTTTGAAAAACAGTCATAGGCAAATTTTATCACAAATTAATGGATGGATGATCACCAAACTTGGTTGCTTTCATTTTTACTATAAAGAAGAAAACAATCAGTGTCGGGAAACCTTATAACTAGAGAGGCAAGTTGAAGTTGACCTGGACTTGTCTTCCTACAAGTTTATTTGTAAATAATATTTCTATAATCACTGAAAAACAGTTGTTTCTGGTGAGCAATTCAGGGTCATCATGGTCCTATTGTTTATTTTTTCGTCGTGCTGTGACATCAAGTTTTGGTCTCTGATATATTTTATAAAAGTAAATAAAACATATTACCTAGTCAATATCATAAAAAGGTTCGAGTGAGAGTCAAATATCAATTGTAAAATGAATTGTTATTCACTTGGATAAGCTGTATAGAATTTGAGGTAATTCTCGAAATAAAAATCACATAATTATATGGGCATGCACAAGCATAAGTAAGGTAAATATAATCAGCAACAAATAAGGAACAGGAAAGACACTGGAAAATATTAAACAAGATTCTAAAATTCCGGAGAAAGATTAGTTAATTAAAGAAGATAATTTATGGAGTATACCTATAAATAGTTGTAAGCAATGTCAAAATTTTCTAAACTTTTATGGAATACAGTTATCTTATCGTCCTAAAACCGATCGTACACATTAATATTTAGCCAACATGGCTTTTATATGTATCTTTGCAACTCATTTATGATTATCTTCGTAGGTTGTAAGTACCAGCAACACATCTTGTTATGATATAAGGTATGATATGTCATGTAGCTCTTCTGATGTAATATACTTGATTACATGTAAAAAATATTCAAACAATACGTTGGAATGTTCTCAACGTATGAATAGTCATATATTTGATATAAAGCCTTTACCGTGATTCAGATGATTCAGTTACAGATGTCTCTAAACATTTTAATACCCAAGGACATACTTTCCAGGATTTCTCTATTATGCCTATTGATAAAGTAACACATCCTTGGAGAAGACTTTAAAATATCACTTGGATACTTTATCACCAAATGGAATAAATACCAAAGTTCTTATTTATTGTCTGTCATTTACTAAAAAGTATTTTGTACTTATCATAGTAAGTTTTACTGGTGTTTTTATTTCATATTTACACTTTAACTTCTTTCCTCTTTGATCATGTCTTTGATTATTACGCCAAACTATTTGTTACGTTTTGACGACGTCTCTTTTGATCACATGCAACACTGTAATAATTTCCTGTTGTTTTTTGTTTGTTTGCTTTTTTTAACCCTGAAGGAGGCTGTTCAGTCGAAACGTTGGTATATGAAAGGATTTTTTTTAAATTTACAGATGACTACTTATTTTTTACTATTTAAAGTGTAAGTAGAAATAGAAACAAACATTCACGATGTACGCTTGGTTTTAGGACATTCCTATCAACTGTCGATTTTTCTTTCATCTAAAGTTTACGATGTCGAGGAAATATGTGTTGTTCAGGGCTTCACGTGAATCATATGAAAAGTAAATGTCTCAAAAACATTTTCATAGAATAAACTCACTCTGACATGTGTTTATTATTCTACTTTTTATTCTTCCGTTTCGTACAATTTCACATCGCTCAAAACAATATCGTACCGCTTTACGTTCGACACCCGCCCTGTTTAGACGGGTTTAAGTAAATACAGCTGATTCGTTCTATCATACAAATCTACCGGCAATGTCTGCTAGACATTTAGATAATAAAATTGTATTTGAACAGTACATTAAAGGAACGTTTAACACGATTATTTTGAGCTTCTCATTACATTCATTTCATTATTGAAACGTTTTAAACGTTGATTTCAGTTTTTTGTCTAAAACGACATTCAAAATATTAATGCAAAGTTTTATATGCAGTATTGTTCATGTAATGGTTTAAGCTTCCGGTAAAAGGCATTTACCTTTCATAGAATGCGCTGCGTTTTCACTTTTGTCAGTTGAGTTCTAAAGAATAATCAGAACATTTTGTTGTTTGACTATGCATTATTTTTTATTGCGGTTGCCAAGCAAGTCCAGTATAAATATAGTGTGAATATTGCTTAGGTCTACATTTACTAAGTGTTATACCACGCTGCCAGTTAGAAACATAGAATTATATAATTTATGACGCTAAAGATGGGGTCGAGCAAGTTGTTGTTTATTGTCGTGCTGTTTAGTGTCGTGCTGTTTGTATTATCTGAGATAAGTACGGCAGACGATTGGAAGGATGAAATTAAAATGTCGCTGTTCAAAATGATACGAATATCAAAAGATCCGGATATTGGGATCAGAGAAAACATTAAGCAAGAAAAAACGCGTGTTTTATGCTCGATCACGTGTTTCCAAAGTTCTTCTTTCTACTACCATGAAAACAATTCCACATGTATTTGTAATTCTGGGGCAGACAGTGAAGCAGAGGAAAATGAAGATGTAATCGGGGAACTGATATATGGAATAAAAACAACAACTATCATCACTTCATCATTACAAGTATGAAATTTAATCACATCAATTGAATCTTTATCTGAATTGATGTTTTCTTCCGTAAATTTGAAACTGTTGTGGATATGAACGTTCATGACCAGCTTTTGTCAAATAGAGCATTTTTAATTTTGCTGTTTCGGGTGTGTTGTTTTATTTTTATTATCTTAAGTGTCACAACTGCGACGTGTCAGTAATTATACACTCTGATATGTACTTTAAAAAACAAAACAAAAAAAAAAACACCTTTGGTATATAATCGTATTTATGCTGATCAAAATATCCCAGTGGACACTCACACTCACTTTTTACGTATTTCATTAAAAAAGGCATTTGTAGTCACATAATTTCATAAAAAAATTGGAATGTAACACAACAAATCATTTATTTGTACTATTTTTGAAATTGTATCGTTTTAAAATCCTTTTCATGATCATTACCAATATTGATTAAATTGTAAAACGGAATTAAATAATTGTTGTAACGTTGTGCAATTTAAATTGATTTTCTTTTTTTTTCAGACAACGGACAATTCCTTTAAAAGAGTTGAAAAAAATCATTTTTTGTCCTTTTTGTTTACCTTTGTGTTGTTTTTGCTATTGCTATTTCACAAAAAGGTTTAATGAGAGGACAGTTATTATGTATTTCCTTTTAACGTATGTGCTGCTTTAAATGTAGATTTGTTTTGCTCTTCCAGACATTAGACAAACAATTCAAAAGAGTTCATAAACAACCAGAAGCACGTGACTGTTTGGCGCTGTTCCAGCAGGGATATACTGAAGACGGTGTATATGTTATCAAGCCGTGGGGCACCGATACTGATATTTTCTGTTCTGCAACAGTTGACGGATGTGATCTTATTGGAACAAATATTGACGTATGGTGTGACATGTCAAATGGTGGATGGACAGTTATTCAACGCCGGCAAGATGGTTTTGTAGATTTTTATAAGGATTGGTACGAATACAAAATTGGCTTTGGGAACGTCGTAGGTGAATACTGGATCGGTTTGGAAAACATTCATATCCTGACGTCTTCCAGGAGTACCCTTCACGTAGACATGAAGACATTCGGGGATGTTTCACCAAAGTCTGCGCATGCTGAATATTCCTCTTTTCGAATCACCGACGAAAACGACCAGTACAGGTTAATAATCGGAGGTTATCATGGCAGCTGCTCAGATTCTTTGCTCTACCATCACAACGGCAGTCAATTTACGACACGTGACCAGGATAATGATTTAAACGATGATGGGAATTGTGCAATATCGTCGACCGGGGCGTGGTGGTACAACAAGTGTCTAGCAAGCAATCTAAATGGGCGGTATCTTAAAGGTGCCGACTCTGCCTATGCACAAGGTATCGTGTGGGTTCATTGCTGGACACATACATATTCGCTTAAAGAAACCGTCATGAAAATAAGACGGAACGAGTAAAATAATCACTCCAATTATCACGTTTATAGCCATTTGGATTCATTATTTCTCGATTCTGTAAATCAAGAACTTATCGTGTGACACATTGTGTTAATCCGCAATTACAAAAATCCATTTGTATTGTTGAATCAATTTACAAACGTGTGAGCCTGAAAAAGTGCATATGAGCGTATTAATATTTCAATGCATTTTTCATTGTCTTAAAAGTTCTACGACAGTCGCAATATTCATTTACCATTCATTTTTGATAATGTTCACGAATATAATAAAAAGTTAAATATAACTTATAAATATAATACACGATGGTAAAGCAGCAGTCGCCTTGAACATAAAAAATATATAAGATCAATAGGAAATATTAACAGTCGATGAAAAATATATATGTCTTAACAGTTTTTTTCTTTCTTTGAAATAAAAAAAGTCGTTGCTGAATGCTATGTTGTTTTATTTGGGATCACAGATTTCCACAAATTAAAGGCAAGCTATACTTCAGAAATCCATATTTATTTAAACTTTTGAAACGCCAAACTTGTGTAAAAGAATGTTTTAGTAATGTATTTGAGCAACATGGATGTTAAATAGCTGTAAAAGTAACGCTGAATGTGCAGTAATGTGTCGTCAAAGTAGATGCTAATTCACTATAATGGTACAAATTACCAAAAAAAAAAAAAAAATTAGGAAATTAGGACCACATATAATTCATCTTCATGGCAAACATATTATTGTTTTAATAATACTGTAACAAAATATCAAAAGTAAAAGGTTTTTGAGAAATAAAAATGATAGCATTTCTATGAGTCTTGGACAAAAGCCCCCTACCCCTTCTAAATATGACAAGGTGGACAGAAGCCCCCCCCATGAAATTTTCACATAGGACAAAAGCCCCCCCCCATAAAAATACAGGTAGGACAAAGGCTTCCCATCTCTTTTCACTCGCACAAGTGCTCAAATTCATCAAATTTCACACAGACTTTTAAATAAAAATGAAAAGAATTTGTTTTAATGTTTATTTATAATGTATATACATGTATTGAAGTGATAACAAAGTTTATGATAACAGATTAAATAATGCATGCATGCGATACCAAATTCATAGCTTTTCATATACACAACAAGGGTCAGAAGAGTAGTAATGTTTAATCACTTTTGCAAAGGGATCAAATTAATATCCTTAGCACTCTTTCACCTACATGTGATATCCATACATATTTTTTAAACACATAAAAAACACAACTTTAATACACCGATATGTAAATTTGATTGACTATGAGGGGGGGGGGACTTTTGTCCTACCTTTACTTTTTATGGGGAGCTTTTGTCCTATGTGTAAATTATATGGGAGGGGGTGGGGGCTTTTGTCCACCTTGTCATGTTTAGAAGGGGGATTGGGCTTTCGTCCGGGGGGCTTTTGTCCGTAGCCCCATTTCTTAGGCAAAATGGGCCTTTAAGTATAAATAGAGTACCGCTCAAGTCGGAACTAGGTGATATGAGGGAGAGGATTCAACCAAACAAAGTTTGCGATCTTCATGTAATTTGTTGTTTTCATTTGTTTCCAAGGAATCTCCCATTTTTCAGATTTCTTGTTACATACTCTACAGCGTGATGACACGAGAGTTTGCTGATTGGTTTTTATTAATTGTTGATAAATTTCAATATCTTAAAAAGTTAAGATTGGGTAATAGTAAGTGCAACTAACAATTGTATTTTTCAATATCGGATCTCATTTCAATATCCGATAGGTTGGATGTGCTGTCACCGTCTTGTGCTCCATAACGTAACAGAAACGGGTGACACTGACCGTTATAACAGTCGTTCAGTTGAGCCATTGTATTCTCCATCATACAAAACAATCACTGTCTCGGAATGTTTCAATAAACTGTATATCATAGATCACATTAAAAAACAAAATAGGAGAGCCGTTATCGCCTCAGGCTATTTAAGAACAAATTCAGTGTGACCCACCTATAATCCATATACACATAAACGCGCGAACTTAAACAATTTAAAAATAGATACAGAAAAGTTTAAAGAGTCTTACTACTACAATGTTATCCCATGTATATTTCCTTTCACAATTATATTATTATACGACAAAGAACTCTTTACATCACATTTACACTATGTATCCTTCTTACATCATCCCAAAATGACTATATTCCAACCATTATCACAAATTTTACAAGCAAACAAAAACCCAGGTTCGACATAACCGGAAGCGGAAAAAAAAAGAATCTAGAACAACATTTTTGGAGCCCTAGATTAATGATCAGTTACATTATAGTTGTCATACTTTCCCGCCATATTTGAAAAAATAGAGAAAAACAGAATACCCAAAGCTCGCCTTAAACTAAAAATGTTGCAGTCTCGCTGTGATTGAGCCTGTTCTTGGACGGTACTGAAAGTGCAAGCAAGCTACCGTCTACGCCCCCTTCATCGTGAAAATGGAGAAATTTTGAATTCAGAAACGTTCGCAGATGTGTTCATATAAAGCTTGTTTGCAAGTTTGTAATGTTTGTCTTATGTTTGATTTAGGACAGGTTATGATTTCCAGACCGATTTATAATATATTATGCTGACGAGATACATATACAGTATGTCACATGGTGCCCAGCCCATTTACTCATCATTTGTATAATATTTGACATGCATTTTGATTGCAATAAAATATCTTTAAATTGACATGCAATAAAATATGTTTAACTAAAAGTTGATATATTTTCTTGTTCGATCATTCGGTGAACAACCAATTATATTAATTAAATACTGGTTAGTAATTTTGGCAAAAGAAATAACTCATTCATAAAGTTTAATGATAATTCTTCATAAAAAGATAATAACTGGATATGAAATAAAAGTATTTTTCGACGAGATTACTAAAACAAAATTAATAAAGACTTTTTCGCAATATGTGAATTCCTTAGGAACGCGGTAACTGTTTCAGATTATAATAGTACGCGAAAATAGTAGTTACATTTGTATATAAATATAAATTTGGTATTTTGAAAAAGATAAAAGTAGTACAAGAGGACTACAAAGTTGCCGTATGTATAAATACGACTTTAATTTTAAAAAAAATGAATAGTGTCAATTTTGATAAATAAAGAGTGTAGTTATTAAGATAGATTATCATCACATACATATAATTTAGAATTTGTATATGATAGATACAATGCAGGTCTAAGCGATAGCGGAAAAAATACATCAACAATGTAAGTCGAATCCTCTTGAAGATGAATTCCATCATCTCTTTACTCGTCTGCCCCCCAAAATATTACCTTAGTAAAGTATTTGATACCATATTTGATCTTCTCTTCAAAAGAGGAAACTTGAATGTCATCAAAATATTGAATAATATTTTATACAATGTATACAAAACTTAATACAATATGTATCATATTCGTATATATTAGCTACTTCTTGGAAAAAATATCTTTCTATAATTGAATTTTTAACAATTGATCTATTTTAAAATTACTAGTATTACTCGCTATGTGCCATTCAGATTAATTATTGAGTTTATAAAAAAAAATCCAAATGATGTACCTGTTTCTCTATTACATTTCAATAAGTATCTAGAAGATAACCCCTAATGTAATCTTCTGCAAGTTATGTTTAAGTTACCTCCCTTTTAACTTTTCATCTGTTCGCAATTAGACGATATTGGAAAGACAAACTTTAAAATATATTTTTGTGCTAGCATCTTTTATATTGTTTAAAAGACTATAACATAATAGTACAATACATACATTTAATTATACAATATGTATTTTTATTTTTACTTTAACCTTACAGGGCTCTTTCATTTAATTCATCGCAAACCGGCTTAAAATAGGTAGTCAATAACTATTGTTAATTCTGATCTAAATTTAGAACCCCTTTAACTTTCTATAGGTAGTTTAAATTAAAGAATTTACATTATACAAATACAGCTTGTCACAATAGAACGGTATGTGTTGACACTAATTGTTAATATGATAGGCTTATAGATGTATGAACATTTAACATTTAAATTCAAGTTTTCTTTAAATAAGTGAATAAATGTGTTGGTGAATGTGTAGAATATTATATCATCATATAAAGGTTAGGAAATATAACAGTTTTAGAAGGTAAGAAGACACTTCCTCTTAGAATGATTTATATGAGCATGCTTTAAACAACTCTAATTGTACACTTATTTTAAAGGGTATAAATCTATATCGTATGAAATGTTTTAATAAAATGCATCACCAGTAAAATTTTTATTGGTTCTCATATTATATGGCTGATTCCCGAAAAAGCTGTTTTATAGAACGTCTCTGTTATTTATCACACATGGATAATGTGCGTAAACAGAATAAAACGTTCCAGAACGAAATAATAATTTTGCTTTTTTAAGTATAGGGTTTTTCCGTTTAGCAATGACTTTAAGATTTTATACAATTTCCACAGTGTTTAACGTTTAAATTTATGTATATCGTGTATAAGTTTTCTCCATTTTTGTTTAATAAATCGATTATTCTAAGGCTATTAGATAATAGTGTTCAAAATATATGCGTGTATGTAATTATGAAGACGAATTAAAACATAACTCCACGAACTTCCAGGACGACCCCCGTATTGTGTATGTTCTGAAATAACAAATGTTTTAACTAAATTACTCTTACCTCACTGGTTAGGTGCAATGAATATGACAAAACTTGAACATGAATCAAAAGTGAGATTTGTTAATATCAAAATGACAAATTTAAACATCAAATAGTAAATAGTTAAGCCAGAATGCACTGGTGTGTCAATGTGTATGACACTGCCACTGGTGTGTCAATGTGTATGACACTGCCACTGGTGTGTCAAGTTGTATGACCCTGCCGCTGGTGTGTCAAGTTGTATGACCCTGCCACTGGTGTATCAAGTTGTATGACACTGCCGCTGGTGTGTCAATGTGTATGACTCTGCCACTGGTGTGTCAAGTTGTAAGACTCTGCCACTGATGTGTCAAGTTGTATGCCTCTGCAACTGGTGTGTCAAGTTGTATGACTCTGCCACTGGTGTGTCAAGTTGTAAAACTCTGCCACTGGTGTGTCAATGTGTATGACTCTGCCACTGGTGTGTCAAGTTGTATGACTCTGCCACTGGTGTGTGTCAAGTTATATGACTCTGCCCCTGGTGTGTCAAGTTGTAAGACACTGCCACTGGTGTGTCAAGTTGTAAGACACTGCCACTGGTGTGGCAAGTTGTATGACTCTGCCACTGGTGTGTCAAGTTGTATGACTCTGCCACTGGTGTGTCAATGTGTATGACTCTGCCACTGGTGTGTCAAGTTGTATGACTCTGCCACTGGTGTGTCAAGTTATATGACTCTGCCACTGGTGTGGCAAGTTGTATGACTCTGCCACTGGTGTGTCAATG